ATTTCTTCTTGGTGGACTGATATTTTATCTTTACACAATATTTCTCTGGTTATTTTCTTGCCTCAGAACTCTTTTTCTATTTGATATTATATAACTTATTCTGCTTTCTTTTGATTAATGTTTGTATGGTATACCTTGTCTTTCTTGTTAGCTTAGTATAAGTAAAGTTTCTTGTAGACAGTGTATAGTTGGGTTTTTTTTTTTACACTCAATCTGTCTGTGTATTTTGGTTTGTACTTATATTCTCTGTAATTGATACCTCAGGACTTAAGATCTCATTTTATTTTTTGTAGTCTTCCTGTTAGAGAAAATCTCTCTATTTTTCACCTGATACTTTTTTCTTGCTGTTCTGTTTTTAATTTTTTTCCAGAATTTTATTTTGATTTACCTTTATACTTTAGTGTCTCTTTGTATCACTTCACTTCTTTAGAGGTTGCTGTTGGTGCTTCATTATATGTAAACAAATTATCACAGTCTTTTGCTATTGCATTTTCACAGTTTTAATGAAGTATAAAGACCAATTTTTTTTTATTTCCCTGTATTTCCCTCATTTATAATAAATTTACCTCCTCTATATCTAGAACCAATTGGACTGTTATAATTTTTTTTCAACTGTCAAACATAATTTAGGGAATTCAAGAGAATGAAAATACGTTATACTTATTCATATTTTTACTTTTTGTTATTTTTATTCACACTTGATATTCAGATATTCCTTTTCTATCATTCATTTTTGTTAAGTAAATTCCCTTTAGCCATTCTGTTTGAGTTGATCTTTTAGTGACAATTTTTGGTTTTCCTTCATTTTTAATAAAAATAGAAATATATTTGGTGTGGATAGGGTTCTGGGTTGACAGTTCTTTTCTTTATACCCTTGAGTAATGCTCTCCTTCCTTTTGGCTCCCTGTTTTCTCATGAGAAATCTACTATCATTGGAATGTTCCCCCTGTAGTTAAAGTGTTGTTTGTCTCTTGCCACCTTCAAGACTTTTTTCTTTTCTTTTTAGTTTTCTGATTTTGGTTTTATTTCTTTGGGTTTATCCTTTTGGGTTTGGGGGTTTTTTTTTGTTTTCTTTTTTTTCAGTTTTATGAATCCTTTGTTTTGAATTTTCCCAAGTTTGGAAAGGTTCTAAACACTTTTGGACTACTTTTATGTCCCATCCTTTTCCTTCTGGGAAACTGATAACATGATTTTTAGATCTTTTGTTTTTGTCCCACAGTTCTATGAGTCTGATTTTTTCTTTTTTAACATCTATTTTCTGTTTTATAGATTGGATATATGTTTTATATTTGAGTTCATTGACTCTTTCTCTGTTTCCTCCATTCTGCTGTTCAGTTTATCTCTTCAGTTCAGTTCAGTCATTCAGCTGTGTCCGACTCTTTGTGACCCCAAGAATCACAGCACTCCAGGCCTCCCTGTCCATCACCAACTGCCAGAGTTTACCCAAACTCATGTCCATCGAGTCGGTGATGCCATCCAGCCATCTCATCCTCTGTCATCCCCTTCTCCTCCTGCCCCCAATCCCTCCCAGCATCAGGGTCTTTTCCAATGAGTCAACTCTTCGCATGAGGTGGCCAAAGTATTGGAGTTTCAGCTTCAGCAGCAGTCCTTCCAGTGAACACCAGGACTGATCTCCTTTAGGATGGACTGGTTGGATTTCCTTGCAGTCCAAGGGACTCTCAAGAGTCTTCTCCAACACACCACAGTTCAAAAGCATCAATTCTTTGGCACTAAGCTTTCTTCACAGCCCAACTCTCACATCCATACATGACCACTAGAAAAACCATAGCCTTGATCAGATGGACCTTTGTTGGCAAAGTAATGTCTCTGCTTTTTAATATGCTATCTAGGTTGGTCTTAACTTTCCTTCCAAGGAATAAGCGTCTTTTAATTTCATGGCTGCAATCACCATCTGTAGTGATTTTGGAGCCCAAAAAATAAAGTCAGCCACTGTTCCCACTGTCTCCCCATCTATTTCCCATGAAGTGATGGTACCAGATGCCATGATCTTAGTTTTCTGAATGTTGAGCTTTAAGCCAACTTTTTCATTCTCCTCTTTCACTTCCATCAAGAGGCTTTTTAGTTCCTCTTCACTTTCTGCCATGAGGGTGGTGTCACTTGCATATCTGAGGTTATTGATATTTCCCTGGCAATCTTGATTCCAGCTTGTGCTTCTCCCAGCCCAGTGTTTCTCATGATGTACTCTACGTATCAGTTAAATAAACAGGGTGACAATATATAGCCTTGACGTACTCCTTTTCCTATTTGGAACCAGTCTGTTGTTCCATGCCCAGTTCTAACTGTTGCTTCATGACCTGCATACAGGTTTCTCAAGAGGCAGGTCAGGTGGTCTGGGATTTCCATCTCTTTCAGAATTTTCCACAGTTTATTGTGATCCACACAGTCAAAGGCTTTGGCATAGTCAATAAAGCAGAAATAGATGTTTTTCTGGAACTTGCTTGCTTTTTCAGTGATCCAGCGGATGTTGGCAATTTGATCTCTTGTTCCTCTGCCTTGTCTAAAACCAGCTTGAACATCTGGAAGTTCATGGTCCACGTATTGCTGAAGCCTGGCTTGGAGAAGTTTGAGCATTACTTTACTAGCTGTGAGATGATTGCAATTGTGCAGTAGTTTGAGCATTAATTTGGGATTGCCTTTTTTTGGAATTGGAATGAACTGACCTTTTCCAGTCCTGTGGCCACTGCTGAATTTTCCAAATTTGCTGGCATATTGAGTGCAGCACTTTCACAGCAACATCTTTGAGGATTTGAAATAGCTCAACTGGAATTCCATCACCTCCACTAGCTTTGTTCATAGTGATGCTTTCTAATGGCCCTCTTGACTTCACATTCCAGGATGTTGTCTTTAGGTGAGTGATCACACCATTGTGATTATCTGGGTCATGAAGATCTTTTTTTGTACAGTTCTGTGTATTCTTGCTACCTCTTCTTAATATCTTCTGCTTTTGTAGGTCCATACCATTTCTGTCCTTTATTGAACCCATCTTTGCATGAAATGTTCCCTTGGTATCTCTAATTTTCTTGAAGACATCTCTAGTCTTTCCCATTCTATTGTTTTCTTCTCTTTCTTTGCATTGATCACTGAGGAAGGCTTTCTTTTCTCTCCTTGCTATTCTTTGGAACTCTGCATCAAATGGGTATATCTTTCCATTTCTCTTTTGCCTTTAGCTCCTCTTCTTTTCTCAGCTATTTGTAAGGCCTCCTCAGACAACCATTTTGCCTTTTTGCATTTCTTTTTCTTGGGGATGGTGTTGGTCACTGCCTCTTGTACAGTGTCCTGAACCTCCTGTACAGTGTCCCAAGCCAGTGTCCTAAACATAGTTCTTCAGGCACTCTGTTTATCAGATCTAATCCCTTGAAACTGTCATTTCCACTGTATAATTGTAAAGGATATGATTATTGATTATTCAGAAAGGGTGATCATAAATCCTTTTTAAAATGAGCTTCCTTTTTCTACATAGATTGAATTAGAAATTGATTGTCCATTGGCTAGAAACATGACTATTAAGTTATTTCCCTTAGAACTTTATTTGGCAACAGCACTTCTGGACTGTAGGTTTAATCAAAATTATCTAATATCATATATGTTATATTTTAATTATCAATTAACTCTGTAAATGTGTATGTAATAACAAGACTTCTAGTTTTTGAATTTAGTGTGCTAGGTGCCTTCAGCAGAATACTTTTGGATAAAGTTTGGGCTTCCCAGGTGATGCAGTTGTGAAGAACCTGCCTGGCCAGTGCAGGGAGATGCATGACACATGGGTTTGATCCCTGGGTCAGGAAGATCCCCTAGAATAGGCAATGGCGACCCACTCCAGTATTCTTACCTGGAAAATCCCATGGACAGAGGAGCCTGGCAGGCTGTATTTAGGCCCATGGGCTTGCAAAGTGTCAAACATGACTGAGCATGCACACACACAAGGGTGGAGAGAAAGTCAATGAACCAGATTGAAAATATAACTTTGACATGATGCATGTTCACTGTTACATAAAGAGGTATAAGATGAAATCCTTCTTGGAATTTATCATTCACTTTCCTTTTTTTTCCATAGTGGTCTATCTGCTTAACATCAGTATTCTGTTTTTCTCTTCTAACAGTTTGCCAGCTCTGTTTCTAAATAAGTTCTAGGAAATATTATGGTTTAATAACAAGTTCTGGCAAGAAGATAACTGTGAACTTATCCCCCATGTCTTTTTAAAAGTGGTTAAGGAGCATAAGTAGGCCAAACTAGAAAAAGTGATGATACTATGAATAGAAGATTAATAAATTCCCAGATTTCATATGTAGGAGTCATGGTTGCTCTGGCTATGGAATAAGTTCCCAGAATTGGTCAGAAAGCCTATTGTGAAGATAAAGGCAGAACAAAAAAATAAAGAAATAGTACAATGGATCTTTAACCTTACAAGTTTTCTTTATACCATTTAAATGCCAAGCATCAGGAAAAAAGTAAATAATTTATCGCTTCATGTAGACAAAGCTACAGTCTCTCTGAGAACTCTGAAAATTATGTTTCATATATACCTAATTTTTATTTCAAGTGACATTATTATAAAAATCCAAACATAGCTTTGTAGAAATGCAGTCATTTTTCAACCAGACAGTAATGGATTTGAATCCCAGTTTTGCCACTTATTAACTGTCAGTCCTAGGCAAGTAGAAGTACAAATTCTTGACCTCAATTTCCTCTTTCTAAAGAAAAGTTGTATATATGTCTTGACGTGCTATTTTCAGAATTAGAAATAATATATATCAGTGTCCATATCACACACTTATTTAATAGCGATTTCTTTATCATTATTATTTTTAATGATACAGTCTTGTCATTTACCCTATAAACTCTGCTAATAATTAAGTTCTACTGAGTATGTAGTAAATTTTGTTGTTTATATAACTATCACTGTAAAGAGTGTAAAGAAAATTTAATTCTGACCAGATATAAAATTTAGATATTTTAATTATAATTTTCTTTCTTTCAGAATTACTTACTGTCATCTACCTTTCCAGAGTAAATGGCTCTATGTTGGAACAGAAAGAGGAAATACACATATTGTAAATATTGAATCTTTCATTCTTTCTGGATATGTTATCATGTGGAACAAGGCAATTGAACTGTAAGTTTGAACTTGAATATCACTATATTTGAATTAAATATTTTTAAGAGTTATATAGTGTGTGTGTATATATATATATATATATATATATATAAAATTCCAGAGTTATTTGAAGCATCAGTAGCTAATTTATGATGAATTTGAGTGAAAAGTTCATCTAAAATAATTGAAAACTATAAAGTCTTTAAAAAATATATATTGTAGTATTAATAGATGCTAATTTTAGCCTTTACAAATACTATAAATAATTAAGGGCTACTATGTATCCAAGCTTTGTGGTAAAATAGTAAGGCTTATTCTAAAAGGTACACATGAAAATCATCTCATTTCTTTATAGTCAGTATAGCCACTTCCAGTAGGAATGGCAAGAGGATTGTTACCATATATAGTTTAATTTAAAAATAATCATGGTCAGTTCACATGTTTTTAAATACTGATAGCTTATTCTTTGCTTGCCCCAGTAACATATTTTTCTGGGTTCTAAAAAGAATCACTTCATCAATATCTTTCACATTGTGATGTATACAGCTCTTTGGATATGTGGCTGATGGCAATTACCATTTTCACTTTGGCACTGATATTTACGTTTCTGCACATGTAAAATGTGAAATCCCTCAAATGTGAAACTTTATGGAATTTCAAGCCATCCTTTGTAGTACATATACAAACAATTCTCCTTGTCAGTGTGTTAATTGGGAAAACTATTTTTCTTTAATAAATGTTTATGTTCTGTACATACCAAGTTCTTAATAAGGTACATTTGACTTGAGATTGACTCATTCTCTCTCTTACATATACATATTCTAAGTTATATAATTGTTTTTCTCTAAAACTCTGATTAAAACAGCCTGTTTTCATGAAATTTGACTTTGGTTTTCATAATAAATCTACTATTCCCTATTCCCAGTATTTCAGTGTACATGTATATTGCTTGATAGGGAGGGGATATTAGTAGTTATGTTCTTATTATAATTATCCATTTGTATTGTGTCCTAATGAGGTTTTTTTTTTAAATTAATGGTAACTCTTCCTCATTAGAATAAGAATAGCTTCAGGGCAGAATTCTTTGTTTGTTGCTCATTTTTTGTTTCATGTTTGTCTTATTTTGGTGCTTTCCACAGAGCAGCTACTAAATAACTAATGACATTAATGAAAATTAGTATGATAAATAGATACACAGTGCCATTGACTTAAGGTTTCAAATATGATTGGTATGAGCTTTTTTATTCATATACATTTTAATATTCTATGTGTATATTTTTAAAAACATTTGTCCTATAGAAAGTTATGTGTCTCTCAAAAAGTATTTATTTTTTCAGCTATTTGGGAAAGGCTTTTCCCCCTATAATCTTAAATCTATAAAAGCATTACATAACACTGAGCTTAATATTTGTTTTCATAATGTTTTGGGATACTGATAGACACAAGTACACCTGAGAGGTAGAGATTTTATACAAATTTGCTGTTAGTTACAAATAGTAATAGATTTGTGTCAGTTCAATGCTGCTAAAGTAATTAAGAAGGTTTTTTTTGTAAACAGATCAAATATTTCACACTCTTGCAGTGTTTGTTATTTCTATATTCATTTACTTAACAAATCCTTTTCATCATTCAGATTAATACTACCTGAACTATGACTAATACCCTATATGTATTTACATAGTCTATATACTTTATATTTTCTGAACTAATGAAGATTTTAAAATGTATATTATAAAGGAGGATAAAACTAGGAGAAATTAAAGAAATAAGGCATTTTTATTTTTCATAATATCATACATGTGATTCTGAATAGAATCTCCTAATTATATAAATATAGTGTTTTATGGAGTTGTATGTACCCCTGAAAATAGCCTTGAAATAGCCTCAAGAAATTATTAGTAGCCACCTTATCTCCTGACTGTTTATTGCTTTATTTAGACCAGATTTCCAAAAATGTGTTCCATGGTAATATAGTCACACTGAGATAGATTTGATTTTAAATCCCAACTTCCAACTTCCTAGAACAGTCAGTCTTTTAGCTCTTTACCTCTTCAGATACATTAGGAAATGCAAACCACTTAGTAATATCTGTTAAGATTTTGGGACAGTATTAAAATATGCATTTAATTAAGAGTCATTTTGTAATTAGAACTTTACACAAATTTTAACAGGACATTTTAAGCGTGAGAAATGCAGAATTATCTTTAAGGTGTGAGATTATTTCTATTTTAAGTTCTTGAAATACTTTTCATTCAATGTTTGTCTTTTTAAATTGTTTGTGTTTTCAGTGAGTTTTCCCAATTTTAATTGTAGGCAGTTCTCATAATTATAAATTGTTCGTGTTCCCATAGTGTATATGTTAGTTATTTGGAAACTGGAGGCCATTTTTGTGATGTCTATAGAAACAATAATGTCTATAGAAAATAGTCTTTATAATAATGTCTTTATAAAATAGTAGTATAACAAAATGACATTAAAAAAATTTAATTGGAAAATATATTCCAGGTTATAGCACGGAGATAGGTGTTTCTGCAGAGCAGTCCCAGCTTTAAGAAAAAAAAATGGGGGGGGGGGCTATTTTTTCTACATGTGATTAAATATTTGAGCATGAACTTTAGAACTAAATAATAAATAGAAGGCTTACAGTCTTCAAATATATTTTCTGAGCACTATGATATGCTAGCTCCTGGAAACCAGTATAAACTAGCAAGACATAATTTCTCTCTTCTTGGAGATTCCAGTGTAAAAAAGGTGAGATTAAGTAAAAAGGCAATTACACTATATTGGAAATATAATGTTGCAAATTTCGTAAGAAGGATACCTAATATAGATGTGAGGTCTCAGAGAAGTATCTGTGAAGGAAGTTACATCCATGAGATCTGAAGGATGAGTCTCAGATGAGTGGAGAATTAATTGGAGGAGAGGATTTCCGAGAAGAGGAAACAGAAATGTTAAAGGATAGAGTGTGAGAGAGATTTTGTTCCTTGCACAGAAATTTTAAGGATTTTAGTTAGTTGGGAATGGCTAGGAGAAAGGATGGCAAGAGATAAAGCTGAGAAGATAATAAAGATACATAGTATGAAAGTTTTATAAGCCAATTTGAGCATTTAGACTTTATCTAAGGTCAGGAGCGTTTTAAGTGAAAAATTCACTTGATCAAACTTGCACGTAAAAAGTCTACTCTGAATGCAGGTATGGAGAAATCATTGAAAAGAGAAAAGACTGTATTCTTGGCAAAAAGTATGGAGGATTTAGGAGTGAAGATAAGCTGACACATTAAAGAAATAGTTAGAAGACAGAAGAGGCAATACTTGGGTCTTGTGGGAAGATGTAAGAATAATAGAGAATTGAGTGAGTATTTGGCTTGAGTAACTGTGTGGACAAGGGTGTCATTTAGTGAAAGAAAGCAGGAGATTAAGTAGGTTGGGAGTAAAATAATGAGCTCAATTTTAGGTAGGTTGAGTTGTGTGTGTTTTTAAGTTATTCAAATGGAATTGGTATGGGAGAATGGAAGGATGTGGGATATATGGAATATATCAGAATATTCTATATGTATGTTCTGAACCTAATGACATCAGAATTTACATAGACATTGAAACTATGAAAATATATGAGACTGTACATGGAGAATGTATATAAATGAGGAAGCAAACTTGTAGACAGTGAACCAATATTGACTCACGGGTATGTTTTGTTTGCCCATCAAAGTATTTAAGTATATTCTGAATTATTAGTTTCCAGTATTTAATAACTGGTAGAATAGAGATGAAAAATTGAATTTCCAGCTTTTAATGAAAAAAATTCCTAATGAAACAATCCCAGTCCAGTATTCTTGCATGGCAGTCAGTAATCAACTGAAACTAACAACTATCCTTTTGTAGGTGGGTAATGTGTTATCATTCACATATGGGCTTCCTGGTGGCACAGGAGGTTAAGAATCTGCCTGCAATGCAGGAGATTCAGGTTCAATCCCTGGGTCGGGAAAATCCCCTGGAGAAGGGCATGGCAACCCATTCCAGTATTCTTGCATGGAGAATCCCATGGACAGAGGATCCTGGCGGGCTAGTCTGTGGGATCTCAAAGAGTTGGACACGACTGAACAACTAACACATTCACATTCATTGTGCTATCCAGTTTGGCACAGTTCTTATTCAGCCTATTGAACTCATTTGCAATACCTACCTGGCTCCTGTGGTCTCTTGAATTCATGATCATATATAATATGGGAATACATTTCCGTCTAGAACAGAATACAAAGGAATACCAGTATTTAAGATATGGGAAGAGAAAGTCCACAAAGGAAACTATCAAGAAGCCATTGTGATGAATGGGAGGAAGAGAAATAAATAGGGATTTTAGAATTACTGGGTATTGTTTAGATGACTGTCCCATGAATTTAAGTTCATTGATAATTCTATCTAAAGCAATTTCTATGAGATTTACAGAATCCATAGTACACAATTGCTTTTTAAAGTAGTTTCTAATGGCCATAATTTTTGCAAAGAATGCTTGGTAGTTTTTGAAAATTCAATGTTGGTGGAAAAAGTCAGAAAAAAATACATCAAAATGTTAATAGTCATGTATAGAAATGAGAGTTTTCCTTTTAACTTCCGTTATCTTCTTTCAGGGTTCTTTTATTTTTTACAATTAAAAAAAAATCTCTTCTATAGCCTGAAAAAGTTATTACAAATAACTTTAACTCTAGATTTTTTTCTAAACTTAAGTGTTTTGCAGAGTCTGATAAGTTAGTTTTGCTTATGGTCAGAAAATTTGCAATGTTGATTTGCATATCATGACTCTGAGAAGTTCTAGAAAAGAAAAACAAAATATTTGACTTTAATTCAGACTTTCCCAAACTTTTTTTGATATAGAACACTCTTTATGTGAAACACCTTATATATTCACTAGTTTATCGTGGAGTACACTTTGGTATTTGTTGTTCCAATCAAACCCAAGAGACATAGGAATTTTGGTTTATTGGATATTATTAGTTACTACAAGAGAATTGAAGGACATTGTCTTTTATCAGAGGCCTTTATACTATAATAAAGCAGTGCATTTATATGTGAATGATATATTACATATAAATATAGGAGAACTGCAAAAAACTATATAAACTTTTTATGAAGCCTTTTCTTCCTGAACATATCCTAGAATGCAGATAGTAACTCTAGTATCTAATTATTCCAATGATTTACAACAAACAATACATACTACTTATTGAGTACTGTGTTTTAGTATTACGTCAAGTGCTGTATGTATATTCTAATCCTCACTATTATTCAGTAGGTTCACTGCTATCATCTCCATTTTTAAGTGAAAAAATTTAGGACAAAACCACTGATAAGATATGTGATAAATATGTATTTATTAATAATTCTTTGAGTTACTCTAGGGAGTTGTATCTGGGGAACCTGGAGTTACATAATTTGTCACTTTTGTCTGACTCCAAAGAATTTCTAACATTTAAATTTTCTTGTTTTGTGCAGAATATTTGATGGTTTTCACGTGTGCCTAAGAAATAAATTATAACTATGTCAAGTATACTTAAAATAGGGTTAATCTGGCACAATTAGGTCTTTGAAGACAGGATGTGGAAAAATGAGCAATAATCTATGTCATATCACTTCATGTCATGTTTAATCATGATATAATCATACTCAACGGTGGTATCAGTTAAGGTAGGAAACATAAAAAAAATGCCAAATATTGGAATAGGGTAAATTTAAAGTCAGATTATCAGAGCAAAGATCCTTTTAACAATATGCTCTTAGGCTGTTATTGATTACCCTCGTTAACCAGATGAATTAGACATAACCAGTGAAGTAGGTTTCCCGAATTTCTCAGATTTTTGTAAGATAACTATCACTGGCAAGAGTCTATTTGTAGATCAAAGGAGCCCATGTACTATCCTTTAGAAGCAAAATCAGAAATTTCTTGTCAAAGGAAATTTTCAATTTTATATGTACTTTGCAGTTTAGTTGAAACAGGTTTACGGCATCACCCTTGTGGTCATGTAAGTCCTTTTTTCTGTATAAGTAAAACTTCATTTTTAAATTTTCAGAGAAGCAGATCTAGCAACACATAGATAAGCGTATAAGATAATGAAGAATGCCATTGTTATGTGGATCAATATTCTTAAACCAGATTTTTTAAAATAGTCCTACTTTAGTAGAGTTAGTAGGGAAAAGAAAAATAGTCTTAAAGAAAAACAACCAAGAGCTCAAATTAGTTTATGCTAAACTCCAGAATATTGGGAGTGTATTTCACTGTAATCTTAATTTCTTTGTTTCAGTCTCTAATGGTAAAGTGTTTTAATGTTTTTTTAAAGTGACTTTCTTGAATTGATTTAACAGATCCACAAAGACTCATCCAGGTCCAGTTGTGCATTTAAGTGATAGTCCAAGAGATGAAGGGAAAGTGAGTATTACAATACCATTATTCTTGAATTTATTTTTCTTATTCTTGAATAAAGGTGTTTCTTACTGTTATTTTATACATAACATCTAGTACAGTGCATTAAGTGTAATCTAAAATTAAAACATGTTGAATGATTGAATGAGCAAATGAATGAATGTATTATTTATACTAATAATGGTTCCAAATTGAATCATTAGTTTCACCTAGAGTTAAGTTGATATTTAATTATAGAATTTTGAGAAAGGCATATGGCACATGTGCTGTGTTGTGCTAAGTCACTTTGGTTGTGTCCGACTCTGCAACCCCGTGGACCAGAGCCCGCCAGGCTTCTCTGTTTCTGGGATTCTCCAGGCAGGATACTGGAGTGGGTTGCCATTCCTCCCCCAGAAGTTCTTCCTGCCTCGTGATCGAACCCGGGTCTCTTATGTCTCCTGTACTGGCAGGAGGGTTCTTTACTATTAGTGGCAGAATTTTGAGGAAGGCATATAACATGTTGAACAATTTTAGTTCTCAAATATTCTATGCTTAAAGTTAAAAATATTATCAATATCATTAATCATTGGCCCATGTTATTCCATAGTGGTAATGATAAACAGCACTATTAAATAATCATAAATTAGCCAATCTTAATTTTATAAATAGATAATAATATAGAAAATGTTCTCAGATTGCAGAAATAATTTTAATAATTTCCATTATTCATGATTTTCCTTTAATGATTTGATCCTTGGGTCAGGAAGATCCCCTGGAGGGAAGATATGGCAACACAACAGTATTCTTGCCTGGAGAATCCCATGGACAGAGAAGCCTGGCAGGATACAGTCCATAGGGTCGTAAAGACTCAAACGTGACTGAGCAACTGAGCATGCATACTTTAATGATGAGAAACAGGGTTGATAAAAGCTCTAAAGTGTCACTTTCATTATCAATATTGTCTCTTCAAGTGTATATATTTTTGCTAAGTACTATATAAAACACACAAATAAATTATATAGATTTGGTTCTTTATTTTTAAATAATAGAAACTGGATTAGCCTAATAAATACTGAGCCTGAAAGACAAGTCCCCTGATAGTAAGAGAAAGTACACTGAATTTCTTCAAATTGATTTATAAATAGTGTAATTCCAATCAAGTGTATTCAGATTTACTTTTTAAATTGAAATTCAGTTGATTTATATTATTATATTAGTTTTGTGTATAAAATATAATGATTAAATATGTTTATAGATTATATTCCACTAAAAGTTATTAAAAGATAATGACTCTAATTTCCTATGCTATACAATATATCCCTTGTTGCTTATCTATTTTATAGATAATACTTTTTTTATCTTTTAATCATGTACCCCTAATTTACCCCTCCCCCTTCCATCTCCATTCTGGTAATCACTAGTTTATTTTTTGTTTCTGTGAATCTATTTCTGTTTTGCTGTATATACTTATTTGTATTAGTTTTAGATTGCAAATGTAAGTGACATATAGTATTTGTGTTTGAATAATTTTACTAAGCATAATGTTCTCTAAGTCTGTCCGTGTTGCTACATGTGGTAGAGTTTTGTTTCTTTCTATGCTGAATAATATTTCATTGTGTGTATATACATACATACATATATGTATATATATAACTGCCAAATGCTTTTTATGTGTTCATCTATTCGTGGACATTTGGGTTGCTTCCATATCTTGGGTATCATAATGGTGGTGGTTTAGTCACTAAGTTGTGTCCGACTCTTTCAACCCCATGGAATGTAGTCTGCCAGGCTCTTCTGTCCATTGAGACTCTCCAGGCAAGAATACTGGAGTGGGTTGCCATATCTTTCTCCAGGGGATCCTCCTGACCCAGGAATTGAATCCAGGTCTCCTGTACTGCTTGGGTTGCTTCCATATCTTGGCTATCATAAATAGCAATCTAAAGATTGCATGTGTTCTTTGAATTAATGTGTTCATTTTGTTAATATATATATACCCAGGAGTGGAATTGCTGGATCATATGGTAGTTCTATTTTTAGTTTCTTGAGAAACTTTCATGCTTCTTTCCATAGTGGCAGGACCAATATACATTCTGACCTACATGTACAAGGATTCCCTTTTCTCCACATCCCCTCTAATATTTGTTATTTATGGACTTTTCATGACAGTCATTCTGACAGGTATGAGGTGATATCTCATTGTGGTTTTGATTTGTATTTCTCTAGTAATTAGCAATGTTAAGCATCTTTTCATGTCCCTGTTTGCTGTCTGTATGTCTTCTTTGGAAAAAGGTGTCTTTAGGTCTTTTACCCATTTCTTACTTGGGTTGTTTGTTTTTTTAAAATATTGAGTTTTATGAGCTGTTTATGTATTATGAGTATCAATTTATTCTCAGTCATATCATTTGCAATTATTTTCTTCCATTTTGTTGGCGGTCTGTTTATTTTGTCAGTGGTTTCCTTTGCTGTGCAAAACTTTTAAAGTTTAATTTAGCCCCATTTGTTTATTTTTGCTTTGTTTCTTTTGCCTTAGGATACAGTTTTTAAGAAAAATAAATATTGCTATAATTTATGTCAAGTGTTCTTCCTATTTTTTTTCTAGGAGTTTTATAGTTTCAGGACTTAATATTATATCTTTAATCCATTTTGAATTTATGTTTGTATATGGTATGAGGAAATCTTCTATTCTCACTGTTTTACATGTAGCTCTCCAATTTTCCCAGAAAGACTTATTGAAGAGACTGTCTTTTATCCATTTTATATTTTTGCCTCCTTTGCTGTATATCAATTGACTGTAGGTACAAGGGTTTATTTATGGAATCTCTATTCTGTTTTATTGTTGTATGTGTCTTGTTTTGTGCCTGTACCATGCTTTTTTTCATTATTGTAGCATTATAGTATAGTCTGAAGTCTGGGAGCATGTTACCTCCAGCTTTGTTCTTTCCTTTCAAGATTGTTTTGGCAATTTAGCATCTTTTGTGATTCCATATGAATTTTAGGATATTTATTCTAGTTCTGTAAAAAAAAAAAACTCATGGGTATTTTGATAGAAATTGCATTAAATCCCTAGATTGTTTTGAGTGTATAGACATTTTAACAAAATTATTTCTTCCAGTTCAAGAGCTCAGGATGTCTTTTCATTTCTTTGTATCATTTTCTGTTTCTTTCTTCAGTGTTTTATAGTTTTTAATGTGTAGATATTTTATCTCCTTGGTTGTTTATTTCCAGGTATTTTATTCTTTTTGGTGGGATTTTAAATGGCATTGTCTTCTACTCTCTGATAGTTCATTGTTATACAGAAAAGCAACAGATTTCTATATATTAATCTTGTAACCTACAACTTTTCTAAATTCATTTATTAGTTCTAATAGTTTTGGGGTGGAGACTCTAGGATTTTCTATATAAAGTATCATGTCATCTGCCAATAGAGTTACTTCCTTGCTTTCAATTTGAATTCCTTTTAGTTATTTTTCTTGCTTGATTCCTGTGACTAGGACTTCTAATATTATGTTAAATAGAAGTGGCAAGAGTCGGTATCCTTGTCTTATTTCTGAATTTATATGAAAGTCTTTCAACTTTTCACTGTTGAGTATGATATTACTTGTGGGTTTGTCGTAAAGAGCCTTTATTATGTTGAGGATAGATCAGAAGCTAGGCCACAAAACATGTCTCAACAAATTTAAGAGAATGGAAATTATACCAAACATTTTTTCCCACCCACAACAGTATAAAACTAGAAATCAGTTACAGAGAGAAAAATGCAAAAAGATCACACATGCGGAGACTTAACAACATGCTACAAAAAAACCAATGAATCAATGAGAAAATCCAAAAATGCCTCGAAAATGGAAGAACAACACTCTCGAATCGATGGAATCCAGCAAAGAGTTCTTGGGGGAAAGTTTATAGTGATGCAGGCTAAACACAAAAAAACCCTCAAACCATCTAACCTACCACCTAAAGAAATTAGGAAAGGAAACAAAGCCCAAAGTTAGTAGAAGGAGGGAAGTAATAAAGGTAAGAGAGGAAATACATAGAATAGAGATTAAAAAACCAGTAGACAATATCAGCAAAACCAAGAGCTGGTTTTTTGTAAAGATAAACAAAATTAATAATCCTTTAGCTAAACTCACCAAGAAGAAAAGAGAGACAACTCAAATAAACAAAATTAAAAGTTAGAGAGGAGAAATAACGGCCAATACCACAGAGATACAAAAAAATATATATCATAAGAGAATACTACATACAAAATAGTTAGATAATAATACAATAGTTATATGCCAACAAATTGGACACCCTAGATAAAGTGGACATATTTCTAAAAACATACAACTTACCAGACTGAATCACGAGGAAACATAACTTGAATAGACCAATCACTGGGAGTGGAGTTGAATTTGTAACTAAACAAAAAAACCTCCCAGCACAAGAGCATCTAGGATTGGACAGTTTCACAGGAGAATTCTGTCAGACATATAAAGAAGGACTTATACTTACCATTCCAAAACTATTCCAAAAAAAATATTTTGAAAATGACAGCACACTCCAAATATCATTCTACTAGTCTGGTGCTACCCTGATACCAAAACCAGGCAAATACATTACAAAAAAAGAAAATTACAGGTCAGTATCTTTGATGAATATAGATGTAAAAATTCTCAGCAAAGCTTTAGGAAACAGAATCCAAAAATATGTTAAAAAGATCATACGTTATGGTCAAGTAACATTTTTTCTAGGAATGTAAGGATGGTTCAACATTGCAAATCAATCAGTGTGATACACAACAGTAATGAAAGGAAGGATAAAAAAATCACACTCAATTCAATAGACACAGAAAAAGCATTTGACAAAATTCAACATCCTTTGATGACACAAGCCCTTAGTAAAGTAGGTATGGAGAATTTACTCATTTAAAAAAAATTACAAGCTGATTTTAAAATTCATAAGAAAAATGAAATGTTTAAGAATAGCCAAATTTTTTTTTTTTAATGAATAACATTGTGATATTGGTACAGGGCATACAAGAAAAC